CCCCCCCCCCCCCCTTAAGTTTCCAGAGCTCCCTTCATGGAATACTTCATAGGAAGACTCTTCACTATCAGTGTTTATCAATTTAGTCCTTTAATGACAGGTTTGACACTGGACATTTTCAAAATGTTATTACCTATGTAAGTGTTTCAAAGCAAGCTCATAGCTTCTGAACTTTTTAAAAATCTTCCTAGTAAAAGAACATTAACATTCTAAAACTAGTACCGGAGGGGAGGGAAGTTTTTGAGAAACATGTTGTTTATTCTAGCTTCTCCATTCAATGATTTATAGAAGAAATGAAATGCAACTCTGTAGCAGGGTGCCTTCCCTTAATTTCTCTTTTTATTTGTGGCCACAATATTACCTTGGGGCAAAAGCTGATAAAGTTTTATCTGAAGATGAAGGAAAACATAGTACTTAGAGAACACTGAATGCCACAGCTAAGTGTAAACTACAATGCAGATGCAAATTGCAAAACTACTATCTGCTGATCACAACAATGTGAGACAACGCAGCTTCCTGCATCGCCTCTCCATGGCAAGGTGGATGGAGAGGAGAGGGAAGATGGTCTGATTTTAGATCATCATGGTCTCATGTAGGCAGACTAAATATCTACATGCGGTTCTCAAGGCCTTTAGTTCAAATATATACAATATCAGGCTACACAGAAAGAGAATTTCTCAATTCTTTTGGTACAAGAAAAATTCATGTCAGAAGACAGACAAGCCTGTCAAGGCTACCTGTTCTTAATTTCTCATTACTGCTTACAGATTGAAACCTCGTATTCCGAGAAGAGAATCTAATTTCCCACTCAAAACACATAAAATTGCCGAACTGATGCTATTTTATTTCATTCAGTTTGGGATAATTCTTCCTGAATTAGTAAAATGTAAAAAAATACAAATACACATAGCTACAGGTTCACACATGAGAACAGGCAATGGGATCGGAATCACAACTAAAACTAAACTAAATATAGATTGAAGAAAAAGTATATTAATGCATGACTACAGCTCCAGCTGTTCACTCTTCCTCAGTCGTCTTGAATCTAAGAATGTGGCTAGAAGGACAGAGTTAAGAGGCCACTAACTGTCATACATCAAGATACAGTTTTACTAGAAGACTTTGAAAATTAGATATCAGGTTGAGTACAGGTGTGTTGTTTTATGTAACACATGAAAAGTTACTGAAAATGCTACTGGCTTTAGGGGTGGGTTTTTGTTTTGTTTCCCATCACTTTGGAGGTAAACTTCTTACAAACCTTTTCAAGACCTTCTTCCTTGAGGCTGATAACATCTAAGTCAAAATCTGTCCTTAAGCCATTGGTTTTGTTGAAAGTTATCCTGCCTGTAAGGCCTTCCCAGTGGGCCTATGGAGAAAGAAAAAAACAGTTTCTATAAATAATTACCTCTTCCTTTTGTTGCCCAAAAAGAAGAAATTTTACTTCTGCCAAAGTAGGAACATTAATTATTTATTCTAAGTAATTTACCTTGTGGCTGATTTTTTAAAAAAATATTTTTTATTCACTTATTGCTAATTAAATCAACCTTTCTTCAGTCTTCACAGACAGTTTTTTAAACAACTTTCCATGTTAGCTAATAGATTCTTCTTACTAAATGAGATAAAAGGCTGTTATATTTTCATTCCTCCATCATTCATGCACACATTTCCCCTTCTGCTTCCCTTCATGCCCCAGCCCCCCTCATTCCCCTCAAGCACTAATCTCTTTCATGAATGCTGGATTTCATTTTTATGACAGGAATTTTCATTCAAATAAAGGTTTGCCTTTCCAAGATGCCGAAGCCACACTGAGATAGCAAAAATTGAGGTCACTGAGCCAGTCTTCCAAAGATGATACCTTACTTTTAATAAAGTGCAATATCTTCTTTTTTTTTTTTTATAACTTAAAGTTTACCTAGTTATGAAACTATTCCAAAGTAGAGGAGGCAATGTAGAAAAGAAAATTATCATCCTAAGAGGAACCAATATTAAAACCAGGAAAATATCCCATTGCAAATAGTTCTCTTTATGATAGTATTTTGGATATTTAGAATGAGAAGTATTGTATTAGGAGTCACAGTACAAGAGACTTGAATACTTTACAGTGTTCACTTTAGCACCTTAAAACTCCTAGTTTTACTTTAAGTCACTATCAGTATCTAAACAGTATAATAGGACAGCAAGGCCACATATAATAATTTACCATAGGAAAATAAAAATAAAAACCAGGGACTAGACTTCATTCTTGAAGTTTAAACTTATGCCAATATTTATTTGCTGAATTTTTCATAGGATTTTATGTGACAAATGTATATCGCCCCCTTCTCCCCCCGTTATCTACGAACAAAAGTTTTATTTAGAATGCAGTTACTTCACCCTTTTATATTTCTTTGTTCCAACTAATACCTCAAGAAAATCCCCTTTCAAATAAAAATGCTGTCTTGCCTGCTAAACTCTTTACATGTAAAAAGCTGAGGGATTCCTATCTACTGAAAAAAAAAAATGCAGAATTCAAGTGGAGTGGGAACAAAAGAAAATGGGAGTCATGAGAAAGGAAAGTAATGAAGCAGTATACTTTATTAGTGACTTACCTCCTTAATGAGACTCATAAAGCGGGTCCCAAAGCGCCATGGTTTGTGGCGATTACACTGTAGTGAACTGACAGTCATCTGTGGGAACTGCTGGACAGCCACTGACACCACGTGAACTGCATCATACATTAGTGCTGCATCCGTCTGAAATGAGAACAACATCAGAACCATGAACACAAAGCAAAAACGTGAGAGAACAGCAGTGAGAGAAGGAAACGAGAAAAATAGCACTATTTATTATGTTAAAGGGAGAAAATGATCTGATTTCTTTTGTAGCACTTTAAAATGCAGCCCTGTTACTAAGTCCTACGTTCGATGTGTCAGGACCTTCAGCCTCAGCTTTTCTCTTTATAATGCTGAAATAAGGGCCCAAGTACTGACTTTGCAGGATCACAGGGGAAGAGTGGTTTCTCTGATTACTCACATTACTTTTAAACAGCAGTATATTTGGGGGCTATATAAATCACCTTAGGTGTGTTTGATTCAAGTTAGTTATTTCCATGAGAGAAGCAAAAGAAGAAAAAACAAAAGATTAGCAAGATAGCAAAATCTTACCTATGAAGGAAAGTGCACGGGCCAAGGAAATAATGTTTCTCTGTTTTGAAATTACAGGCTAGATACAGTCTCAAAGGTATTCAACTGATGATTAATAACTTTTATGGGTGTCAGTTTAAATCCCTAGGACAGACCTAACTGAAATCTTCTATAAATCAGAGGCAAATTAGAATTGCGTTAAAATGCACATTCATTTTAATGGTTTTCATGTCCCACCCACAATAAATAGGCTATTTAGAACTGGTATGTGCTAGCTAATGTTGTATTAGCAAGGAACAGAGACAGCCTCTCAGTACTTGCTGTCACGCTTTACAAGAAACTGACATCTCTCTCCTGCTCTATTTGATAAACGGAGGCAAGCCTTGGAACCAAAAGCAAGAGAGGACCTTAGATTCAGCTGGTGGAAATGAATGCCATGCCATCTGCTCAGTATACCTTAGAGAAAAACGACCTATTTCCCCTTCTCATTCACATAATTAGTGAGCTGTGAAATTAGTTCTTTAATGGATAGGAAACCTGGAGATTATTGCACTTGTCACAATACAATACAATGCAATACGAAATGAGCTTATATAGTGCCTTTCATGCAAATGCATCCCAAGGCTCTTTATGATAAAACTAAACATAAAAATGCAAAAATACTCTACCATTATAGCCCATAAGCTACTGTTAAAGGGGAAAATATATGTTTACATTTAAATGGCTCTCCTAAGGAGAGATTTCAAAATTCAAACAGAAATAAATCCTAATTTTTAAATAGCCAGTATAATAGGTTTCAATGATCTCAGGCAGCAAGTAGTTTATGCAGGGGCTCCAAATCAGTCAGAAAATATTTTTGCTGCCAAATTGTTCATTATCTTCAAGGCATTAAAGTGCTTTTAAGGCAAGCTGATATTTGACAAGGAGGCAGCGATATACCCAAAAGTTGGAATGACATGCTGAGTAAACGTCATACAAAGCTTAATATTCTAGAAGTATTACTTGGCAGTAGTTGGAGTCTAGACAACAGTTTTTTAAAATAAATTATACAATAAGTACAACAGATTACTCTGGCTTAGAAATGCAAACTTTCTTTTTTCTTTTTTAATCAGTTTCACTTTGAAAACTGCAAAGTAGTCCTTACACCAGTGAAGGAAAATGGAAATTGCTGTGAGACTTTAGCAAAAGCAGCCTATTAAGAAGCAGCCAAAAGTTCAAAAACAGCATTAACTGATCAATTAGATCTAAATTTGGACACGGAACTGATAAGACTCATCAGCAGGAATCAAAAAGACATTATACCAGATGCAGAGCAACGTGGCTTTTTGTCAAGTTCTATAAGCCACTGAGCTGTAAACCTGTAGGATGGCAAGATTGTCAACTCCAGTGGAAGCATTAAAAAAGCCATTTCAGGTTTAGAAACAATTCAAATTCTGATAATATTCTTCATATTTGACTGGTGAATATTGATTAACTGGAAATAAATCTAAATCAGAATATGCTTCTTTTAAATGCACACAATATATACTAATCACTAGCTAAAAGCTCAGTGCCCTATTTGACTTTTAGATGATACAGGATAAATCCCTTATTTACACAGGATAAGATTCCACAATCCACCTTCTATAGGAAGATTAAAGTTAAATGTAGGCTTAAATGTTTGTACTGAATAAAGACAGAACCATATACTCAAAAATATATTAGTTTAGTGATTCAATATTGCACTCATCTCACTGGTGCAATTATTGATTTTGCTGCAAGAGAAATAAACAGCACACAACTCAGGAAAAAAATATAAAGTATATACTTGAATTTGCAAGTTGGGCTTTCCTCTTGGTTGGTCACTTCACTCTTCCTCTGACAGACAGCAGGAATTGATAGCTGTTGGCCTAGTTCTGCATCCTCGTTCATTAAGCTTGATAAGCTTTATGTCTCACTGCCCTTTGTCCATAACACTTTCTATTCCTTAAATCACACTTTTGGAATCATAGTTTCTACAGGAAGTACTGCAGGTTTCATCAAGAGACTGTTTGGGAACCAGGGTGGTAATGTCCCTAACTAAGTTTTTAGGATTTTTTATTTTATCTAAATAGATTAGCAGTCTGGAAGGAAGACGAGGTAGAAACTTTAGGAGAAGCAATGGTTCCTGAATTTCAGACAGAAGCCTGCTGCGATGTTTCTATTCACTGAAGCACACATAATACAAGAAAATAATCTTATTGAAAAATGAGATTAGTACTGTTTTAGTCAACTTGTATAAAACTTTTAAGAATTATGTTGTATTTCACAACCAGATCTTGGTACAGTTTCTGAACCATGGGTCATAGGATTTTTTTGGTTTCACAATCCTACCTAGTATTTATCATGACTGGCTTGGATACAGATAAGCTCATCTAAAATACTGCTCATGATACTGTCATTTGTATTTCTACAACTACAAAATAAAAAAAATTCTACAATTTCAGAAGCTACAAAAATTTTTCATCAAATTCAAATAAAAGGAGATTAAGATGTCAGATGACAGATATCTGTGACCACAAGTCTGTTTTTCAGTTGACTCTGTCAAGTAACAAGAAAGCTGTTATCACTCAGAGGTAACAGCTTAATCAGAGATGTGGTTTCAGTCACAATATATCTCAAACAGAGAGAAAGTACCAATCTGTGTTTGATTTTCATCCTGAACTTAGTTGGATACTACACATTTCTTCTCAATACTGTTCTGGCCTTCCTTTACCTCCTGTCTTATTGTGGCTGTTGTGTAGACCTCTATTTTTCACATGTGTTTCTGTATAATTATTTTTGAGTCTTGCTAAATTAATTGCTAAAGACTGTCTAACAAATTCCATGCAAGTACTCTAATCTCACTGTTAAAGGGCTCTGTGGAGCTAGACTCAGTAAAAAGAAGGTAGAAAAAGAGTCCTCTCTATTATCAGAGACAGAAACTAATATTTCTTCCCAGGCCTCCTCAGAGTAAGGGGTGGTCTTTTTCTTCCCAACCGCATCCAGAGATGTCAAAAGCATGTGACAAGCTCTAGTAGATAGATGCTGTGGTTTCTGTCATACGCTTGCTTGTCCTGGTTAATCAATGTTGTCAGGAGGGTTTGAGTTTTGGGGGCTTGGAGCTGGGTACTGTTTTTTACTGGTTTCAAACCTATATGGGCAAAGCTGATGCAGAAGAAACCCCCTATAGCCTGGATTGCAGCCAAGAAGAAATCTTCCCCACATAATGGAACTGACAAACCCTCTGCAAAGTTTTTCTGCACTTTCTTATGACATACAAAAGGTATGATTTTTAGTGACTTTGAGCACTGGTGGCAGGTTAGACAAGAATCAACTGAAAATCCTGAAACCAGATGGGCTATTTATTCACTACAGCTGCAACCCAAGATCTAGGTCTGTGTGCACCTTATTTGCACAACAGTGTTTTTGTATGACATTTCCATTTGCCTCCTTTAAACTGTATGAGGATTTCATGTACCAATAAACCTCTCCTCTCTGGTCATATCTCAGTGCTCCAGAATTATCTCTAAATTGCAAAAATATGTGTTTCAATTTTTCAAAACCATAATTTTTATTATGCAATCAGGTTTAATACTAATTTAAGATGGAGGACTGCTAGCTAATTCTGTTTCTTCATGAGCTATATCAGAAACAGTGAACTTCTCAAACAGAAAAAAATCATATTTCAACTTTTACTATGACAAATTATAGTCCTCTATAATCTACTATTTAGGAAAAAAAAGGAACTGTTACACAGGCATGATCTGGAAGAACTTTCAATTACTCAAATACAGATGATTAAAACCAGCTTGAAAGCATGAAAAAACCCTCAGGTTTTCAATTAAATGTTAAATTAAACTAATGTGATTGTTTTTCTCCTTAATTAAATTTTTTACTCATAAAAGTCTGTGAAGAAATATGGTCTTCAGCTTAAAAGGTGCTCTGTGAAGTATTTGAAAACACCAAGAAATTTTCTATATTGAGTGACATGAAATAATTCAATGGAAAAGAGAAGCTTAATAAATTTAGGTTTTGTTCTTTAGTATTTGATCCAGTGTGGATCCCAGAAAAGAATGAGTTATTTGAAATATCAGTTGTTTAGAAGATTCTTGGATTTATAAATCTGTGACACACAAGATCTCATACTTGCCCTCTTTAATCTACCAATTTTTTTCAGTGACTGTGGGGAACTTTTTCCACAGAAAAGGAGCCAAAGATGACGGCCAAGTATGAGTTTAGTTAGCTAACTAAAGTATTACATATATTACCTTTATAAGGATTAGACTCCTTAACATTTGCAAAATACTTTTATGGTAAGTGTAAGATATTATTAAAGATACCATCCTCGCAAGTATGATATGCACTTGTTTACAGTGATCTGTATTTTGTGTTTGAATTTCACTTTATTCATTCAAGGCATTTCTTGTAAAAGCTAATTAATATCCATTTAACTCTAAAAGAAAGAAGGTAAAGGGGGGTGGTAATGAAAGATTTTAGGTGTGTAAAAGAAGGAATAGAACTTCAAAATTTGTATCAAAATTAAATTCAGATACAACTCTTCTATGACACAACTTGAAACTCTCTATACAATCTAACAAGACTGGATTTTC